AGGAAAACAGTGACAGCACAGTATTTCCGCTATGAAAGAAGTCTGGAAAGAGGAATCTAACAAGAGCCTTGGTTGGTAAAAGCTGTTGTGGCACTGACAAATTTTTGGAATATCACCAATTAGGTTGAGGCACTAAAGACCTCCATTTAACACTGATTTCAGCTGGTAAACTGGAGTAGCTGCAATTCATACAGCCCCTCAAACCAGACTAAGAGTTTAGAGCAAACCGGGTATGGTGGCACAAGGCTGTAATCCAGCACTTGGGAGGCTGAGCCAGGAGGATCTCCATGAGTTTGAGGCCAGCCTGATTAACATAGTGAGTTCAAGGTCAGCCTGAACTATACAGGGAAACCCTGTCTCAAAAAACCAAAAAACAAAACACAAAAAGCAAAAAAGAGTCTAGAGCAAGGAAGGACAAGGAAATTCAAGAAGGTTTTGCCTCTACTAGCTGCAGATACAATTTTACTAAAATTTATCTGTCCTGCCAGACCCTCCTTCCAAGCTTTGCTCTATAGTTTTGATTTCTTCATATCTAAAAGGCCTTTCTCAGAAAGAATCCTAAGTGAAGGCCCGGAATTTAGCTCAGTGGTGTTGCCACCTGCCTTGCAAGCACAAGGTACTGAGTTTGATCCCCGGTACCAAAAGAGAAAAAAAAAAACAAACAAACAATCCTAAGTGAATTCATTTTAATATATACATCATTTGTTACAGTGTTTTCCAGACTTGCCTGAGGAAGGTTCACCTGGTGTCATTCTCAATTGCACTCTTGCACTTGTCTGTCATTCATTCATTCATTCATTCATTCATTTATTTGAGACAAGGTCTTGCTGCATAGTACAAGCTGGCCTTGCACTTACGATGTAGTCCAGACTGGCCTCAAATTCACAGCAGTCCTCCTGCCTCAACATCCCGAGTGCTAGGGTTATAGACGTGTATCACCACACCTCGTTTCTTGTCTTTCTTTTAGAAGTTTATATTAAATAGGTCTGAGGTAGGGTCTGGGAATCTGTTTTTAATAAGAACTCCAGGGTTGAGCGTGATGGTGCACACCTGTAATCCCAAAACTCAGGAGGCTGAGATTGGAGGATCACAATGAGTTCAAGGCCAGCTTGAATTACACAGTGAGACCAAGCAAGCAAGCAAACAAACAAACAAAAATAGTAAGACCCTCTCTCAAAAAAACAAAAAGAAAGCAAAAAAGAGAGATGAAAGAAAGGAAGGAAGGAAGGAAGGAGGGAAGAGAGGAAGAGAGAGAGAAAGAGAGAGAGAGAAAGACTCTGGGTCATTCTCATCCTTAGGCAAATTTGAGAAACCATGAATCAAAACATTATCATGAGGAATTTCCAATAAGCCTTTTGATTTACAAGATGAAATCTAAAACACACATACCTAAGTATTAGAGCACTAAGAATTTTTTTTTAAATGTACTAATACAATAGACCTCAAAGGGTATATTGCCTCAAAATCCCACTCTGTAAGTGCAAAGACCATGGAGGTGCTGGATGTGGAACACCTCCACATCTGCTGGTTGAGGGCAGAGCTGAGCAGCTTTTGAAGTTTGAAACCCAGAGAACTACTGTGTAGACACCCAATACCTTAGAGGTGTCCTAGCAGTGCATTCACTTATTTAAGTAGTGATTGATTTTGCAAAATTTTCAAAAGTTTTGATTTGAGTCCCCTCTGCACATCCCTGTCTAGGCAGTAGTGTTAGTGCCTAATATAGGCATCTGGAGACTCAGGAAGGGGGCAGGATATACATGTGAGCTGGGTTTACTAGGGTAGATTCTTGTGGTTCTTGACCATTTCCACATACTGTTAGGTCATTTCTAGTTGTCACACAATTGCAATGTCTTTTGGGATTCAACTTCAAGACTGAGGTTGAGGTGTCTCACCAGGTGTCCGGAACCAAAGATCAAGTCCAGAAGTGACACAATGACATGAGCATCTCTGACATCCTCCACACCCGCTGTCATTGCCAAGTGAGAGAGAAAGGAGGTCTGGCATGCCCAGAGAGGAAGCAGCAGGTAGACATTGAGAAGCATGGTCTACACCAAAGTATCTGTGTCTAGATATCAGACAAGAGAGGCTCTGAGCTCATTTGAATAGAAATTCTTCTCTTGGGAGGAATGATCTCAGTGATACGTCAGGTGTGATGATAATGGCACATTTTTTATTTTCTTGTCAACAGAAATCTAGTGTTTCTAGATTTCTAGCACTCGAACCATCACCAGGAGTGTCTGGTGGGAAGTCAGTGCTTTATACAACCTAGTACATCAACATGGGCATAACACATCTGTCAGAATGAAGCCTGGGAGTCCAGCTGGGACCAGAGGCAGAGTTGCCCATGATAGCAGAGCAGCCTGAGAAGCCAGAGCTCCAGCAGCAAGGTCTTCCACCAGCTCAAGGGACATCAGGACACCCAGCATAAGAGCAGTGTGATGACTCAGTTCTGTGGCCCACACCAGCAATGACAATGTGTCCACTCATTATAATGTGTGATCTGAGATCAATTTTTATGTTTTAAAAATTATTGATCATATCAAAATTCAACCAGGATGAGAAGGGAGCATTCTTACTAAAAGGAAATTCAAAGACATATTAATGGCATTTGTCAGGTTTTGGGATTGTGCTATGATTTCTTGCCTCATTCTAAATAAATGCTCTCATTTGCAACTAAAAACAAACAAACAAAAAACAATAGACCTCATGTTTGAAAAGCATCCTATAGTTTTCATTATTACATATACATTATTGCATTAGAACTTCCTGAGAGCCTCCTAAGCTGTATAGGCCAAGGATTCTTGTCCCTGTTTTAGGGATGAGGAAACCCTGCCATAGTATGCCTTGTAATATACCTGGAGAGAAAGTAAGCTGGGTGCAGTGGCTTATGCATGTAATCTCAGCTACAAGGGAGAATGAAGCAGGAGGATTTCGAGTTCGAGGCCAGCCCAGACAACTTGGCAAGACTCTGTCTGAAAATTTTTTTAAAAAATAAAAAAGGACTGGTGATAAAGCTCAGTGCTAGTGTACCCATCTAACATGTACAAGGCCTGGGTTCAATATCCAGTACCACAAAAACAAAACAAAACAAAACAAAACAAAAACAAAGAAAATTAGAAAGAAACCCAATGTACCTTAATCAATGTAAGAACAACCAATGCAAAGAAAAATGTCTACATTTTTTGGTGGTGGTACTGGCAGACTGGACTCAGAGCTTCATGTGTGCTAGGCAAGCACTCCATTGCTGAACTATATCCCCAGCCCTTTTTAAATTTTTAAATTTTATTTTGAGACAGAGTCTAAGTTGGCAAAGTTGGCCTTGGACTTGTGATCCCCCCACCTCAGCTTCTGGAGTAGCTGAGATTACAAACATGTGCCACCGAGCATGACAAAATGTCCTCTTTTCCAAGAGAACACCTTATAACACAGGTAATATGCAAGGTTTCAGGGGATGTGGAACCCAAAGGCAGCCAAAGCAAACAGGAGTCAGAAGCCTCCCCAAGCTGGAAGGTATGTGTGCATTTGGAATGTCAATTATTTTTATGGCACTATACACTTTTCTACACTGGATTCTCATATGAGCTATCCCAGCTACATTTTCCACAACCCCATATTGTACCACAAACCAGTCCAACCTGCAAGCAAAGTACAAGCTTTGATCCTTTTGCAATGCTCTGCTGCCCAACCAGTTTGTGTTTGCAAAAGTGACACACAGCCAGGTCAAAATAGAGACATCCTAGTGAAGGGAAGGCGTTTGTTGCACAAGGCCTTGCCTAGAATCCTTCCTGGGCTCACTTAGGGGTTCTGATGTAGTGGAAGTGATGGATTTCATTTCATCAAATTGTATTAATGTCTCTTCTGGACCAGGCATTGTGCTGAGTTCTGGGTTATGCATAGTCTAGGCAGGAGAGAAGGGAAGACATATACATGACCAGTGGTTGGCTAAGTCAGGAAGAATTGCACAGCAGAATAAGCAATGTTCTATGGTGATGGAGCAGGAGTTCTGGAAGGTTAGTGAAGCAAATGATATTTCCACTTGGCCTTAAAAGATAGGTGGAGATTCCAAAGACAGGTAAGCACATTATAAAGTAGGGAATCTGAGCACAGGTATCAGAAGCCTGAGCCTAAGAGATACATACTGACAGCCCATTGCCTGGGTGGGGCTAGTAGGGTGAATTCTTTAGGGCTTATACTTGTCCAGAGGGGACTTGTGGCCATTCTGAACATCATTAAATTTTCATTTTGAAAAGTCAATCTTTAATAATATCCCAAGAAGACTATGGAAGTCACCGACAATGTAGCCTCCTTTCGAGAAGTATTTGGGGCAACCGATGCTGGGTGAATTGCCGCAGGTCCCACTTGTCTTCCATGGATGGATGGCTTATTGGACCAGAGAATCAGGTACATCAGAAAAGGATTGCAGGGACCTTATATACTATGATAAAGGGTTATCGTACAGCTGAGACTGAAAGGCTTTAAGCAGAATAATGGGATCATATATACATCTTAGAGCCCTCTGGCTGCTGTCTAGACGATGGCCAGAGGTAAGAGTAGGAGAGAGTCTAAACAGGAAGCTACTGCAGTAGGCCAAGAAAAAAGTCACATGACCTAAATAGAGGCTGTGGAGCTGTGAGCAAAGAGCGCGGTGGAAAAAGAGCAAGGGTCAATAAGACCTGTCTGTCTAGCTGAGGCAGAATCAACTAGCCTTGGTTCCTGATTTGGTGCCTATGGGGTTGGGAAGGACAGGAATACAGGGTGACTGACTGCCTAACAAATACAATGAGATGACTTTCTGTGAGGTCTCCAGTTCCTTCACGGGGTGGAAAGAGAGGAAGGGTAGGTCAGAGAACAGAGAAAGAAAGAAGTTTGGAGCAGTGAGAAAGAAGGAAGAAACCCCGACAGTACAGGCCAGGTGGCAGCAACAAAGCCCCGCCCCCCCCCGCCCCGCCCCGCCCCCGGCCCCACCACCTCTCCCTCTCCCTCTCCCCACCCACACCCGGCCCGCGACTCCTTCTTGGGGCGGGGAGAGGTGGCATTTGAGTCCTCCGGTATCCCAGCAGGCAGTGCAGCCCAGAGACGCTGACAAAGGAGCAGAGGAACATTTGCTGCTGCTTTCCCAGGAGCCAGTGTTGCGGAGGTGAGAGTCCCCCAGCGTCCCATCACCCCACTTCCTCCGACTTCGGCAGAACGTGGAAGTTACGTGGCCGAGAGCCCCCGCGCCGAAAGAATAACCCATCCCCAGACCCGGGGCTAGGCTCTGTGACTGACAGCGGGGCGCCGAGATGCGGGTGGGTGGTGTGTAGGAGGCAAAAGTGGCTACTTTCCCGACTGTCAGTGGCCCCGCCGCCGGGGGCTCGAGGCCGCTTCATCTGGCCGGCTGCGGTGTGGCTCGCTTTGCCCGGGCGGGGGCGGGCGTGGGAGCTCCCGGTGCTGCCCGGCGGAGTTCGGTTGCCCCGGGAATGTGCCTCCGGGGACAACTCTTTGGCGGACCGTGTGAGGAGGGCTGGGGGAGGGAGGTTCACTCCCTGTCCGCGGTGACACTGTCCTCGCCCTTCCTCCAGTCCGGCCGGTCCCCCCAGATCGAGTGGAAGGAAATGGGGGGGTGGGTGCTGGGGCGAGACGTCCCGGAATGGCTTTAGCTCTGCTCGCTTTGCCTGGAGGGAGATGAAGGTGGGATGGTGAGGCAGTAGACGAGAGCGAAAGCATTCTCGGAATAATGGGGATTGCGGGGGCGGGGTGGGGGGGGATGTGGCCTGTATCCTCCCCCTCTCCCTGGACCTCCGCACTGATCCCGATGGTTGCACCAGCTGCTCAGCTGTAAACAGGCTCACATGACCAGTTTCACATGGAGCCGGCCGGTGAGAGGACCAGGACTGGAGAGGCTGGGCCCCAATCAGGTGGGCTGAAGTCTTTGGACAGAACGTTTTCTACTCCCTTCGCAGCTCTTCAGCCCTTAATCAATGTTTTGCGGTTTCCCCTTTGAGGAAAGTAACTGACATCTGTCCTCTCCTACTTAAGTAGCATTTTTGTCCCAGCAGAATCAAAGGGTTCTTCTATCTGGGACAGGGACGAGGGTGGGGGAATATTTAAGTGAAAATGGTTTCAGGTCTTTTGACCTTTAAGGGAAATAAGAGGGCCCAAACCTCAAAAGTTGCGTCCTTCAGATTTTGTGTAAAAAGCAGTTCTGTTCTTTGGGAATGCATTGCCTTGCGTTCTTAATGTGAATTCCAGGCAGAAGGGGAAAGCCTACTTTTTTGCAGGCAAGGCACACATGGGATTTAATACATTCTTGATGATGAAAAGTTTGTTCATACTTCCTCTAAGTAGTGACATTTCTTTGCCTATAAAATGTATTGAGGAAACAGAGGTGAACACTAACTTTTAATTTTTTTTTTAAGGAACACTAACTTTTAGATTACACAAATATTTGGTATAAAGCAGTGGAAAGTTTGGGAAAACAGGAAACCAGGCCAAATGTGTCTTTCAAGTTGTTCACGTCTACATACCAAGTAGAATGTGAGTTTAAACTAGTTTCTGAAACATTCTAGGACTCTCAAAACAACAGGTTTATTCAAATGCTAGAATATTTGTTTTATTTTGGTTTTTGGTTTTTGGTTTTTGGTACCGGGGATCAAACTTGGGACCTTGCGCTTGCTAGGCAGGTGGTGGAACCACTGAGCTAAACCCTCGGCTAATGCTACAATATTTGGAAATTCTTCAAATATGTAAAGGGTAGTTGTGGTAGATTCTCTTTATGTGTAATGTAATTAAAGATAATGGACAGTACTCACTACATACAGTTACCCCTTTATGGGTGAAGATAGAAAGTAGAACAAATAGCATACAAAGGAATGGCATGTGTCTTCCATTTTCTTTACTTATATTTTTTTCTCAGAGGGTTCTTACGTTTAATTCCATTTTCTGAAAACAAAGAAATTAAGAAGCTGCAAGAAATTCTACACCATTCATTATTAGCTCAATAAAGTAATTTGTCACTATTATTTTTGTTTTTTAAAACATTTAAGATGGCAAATAGAGAAATTTAAAATATTTCCTAAAAGTTAGCAAAGAAGCTAATTACCAGTTTTGCTCTGAATCTTGTTTTGTCACCTTGCACCATTCTAGAGAATCTTGCCCTACAATAAATACTTTCAGTGATTTTCCCTGTGCACCGCTTGATTTCCTCCTCTGTAATATGAACGTTTTTGTTTCCAAGGTCCCCAGTAACTCCAAGTTCCCTACAACAGTGTAGATTTTGATCGGGAACTATTTTTGGACAAAATAAATTGGTCAAATAAGCTAAGATATTGGTATCAATTAAAAGAACCTGCAAGTGGGCCAGGGATTTAGCTCAGGGGCACTATGCCTGCCTGGCAAGTGCAAGGTCCTGAGTTCGATCCCCAGTACTGCCCAAAAAAAAAGCAAGTATCCAGAGTTGTGATAAATTGGAATTGCACCCTGAAAATTTCTCATTAGGTAAATTATCCATCTAGGTTGCCCAGTACCTCTCTCACTCTACAAGAAATTGAAGATGGGCTGGCGATTTAGCTCAGTGATTTCGCTGCCTGCTGTGCAAGTGCAAGGACCCAAGTTCGATCCCCGGTACCAAAAAAAAAAAAGAAAAGAAATTGAAGATGGCCTCAGCTAAATCATGGCTTCAAAATTAGAAATAACAATTCCACTTGACTTTCTGGACCTTCAGGATATAGTAACAAAGCCTGTTGTTTTACTCATCCCAACTTCTTCCTAAGTTAAGTGGGCCATGTGATTTTAATAATGTTGTTAGAATAAAAGAAGGAAAGCCCTAGCAGGGTCTCACTTCAGCAGTACCTTGGTTACATCACCAGAAACAATGTCAGGGTTCGAGCTTTTCCAGGTTTGAAATTTAATTTTGTCAGTATATCATGAAGTTATTTGTCAGTCTCAAGGACTGATCCATACCTACCAAACTCATGAAAGATTTATTTTAGTAATGAATCCCAGTTTACTAACAGTGAAAATAGAACTACCAAGCAGACCAGAAGGCTCCTGTACAAGCTAACATACTCTTTGCTCTTAACTATATAGAAATACATAGAAATTGCTCTTGACTTCCCTTTTTCTAGGGTCTATGTGGACTACTTTCAAACCTTGCAGTTGGTAGATTCAATGAGATTACAGCTTTCTTTTATGTAAAAACCATTTGTAAGTATCTATCCTAGTTATCTAGTTACCTGGTTGAACTTTGGTTACCTGTAGAACATCTCTCAAATCTGTTTCCATTCCTACTGCCTTAGTCTAGGCCAGTGGTGGCAAACCTATGGCATGCATGCCACAGCTGGCTGTTTGTTGTCATTGAAAGGCCTAAAAGGTTCGCCATCACTGGGCTAGGCCCTTATCATCTCTTCATACAATATTCATTCAACAGTTCTTTTTTTATTGTGACTACTCTGGAGTCTGCTGTTGTGCTTGATTGATCAATGGCAACCACTCTCCTACTTCAGATCTTCTTGGGTCAGTTCCCTGCTTAAAATTATTCAGAGGTTTCCCATTGCCTGCAGCAGTGGTTCTCAGAGTTAGTCATGCATCACAATCACCTAGAGGGCTTGTTTAAAAACACAGATAGCTGGGCCCTGTGCATCCAGAATTTTTCTCATAGTACTGAGGATTGAACCCAGGGCCTGTGCCCTGAGCTGCATTCTCAGCCCTTTTTTATTTTGAGACGGAGTCTCACTTAATTGCCCCAATTGGTCTTGAATTTGTGATCCTCTGCAGTCACAGCCTGCCAGAGTAGTGGGATTACAGGTGTGCTCCACCATGCCTGGCTTGCTTCTAAATCAGCAGCACTAGGGTGGGGAACCAAGAGTTTTTGTTTCTAACAAGTTCCCACGTGAACCACCCAGATAGCAAGTCCAGCCTTAAACTTCCAAACTGGGCTTACAACATTTTTCACAATCTTGCCTCAACTTACCTTTCCAGTCTTATCTCTTACCACCCTCCCAGTACATACTATTTTTTAACCATATTCAATGCCAAAACTCATTTTAAGTGTTCCTTTCATGCCTCTACACATATGCTTCAGGGAATTCACTCTCCTCCATTCCTATTGTAGACTCTTATAAAGGCAGATTGTCACCTTTATGCTCCCAAATCACTTTGTAGCTACTGGCATTCCCGTCCCCTTTTTTTGGTACCAGGGATCAAACTCAGGACCTTGTGCTTGTGAGGCAGGCATGATGCCACTGAGCTAAATCCCTGGCCCTCTACTGGCATTTTAACAAGTCACTTCATATTCTAATGACAGCTGTACATACGTCTATTTTTCCTGCTTGATAAGAGTTTTGGAAGGCTGAGACAAATGTTTTTATATTTCTTCCATATTCCTCAGTACAGTGCCTGTTGTATAATAAATGCTGAGTAAAAGTTGAATTTGAGATTCTAAAACTTATAGGGGCCAGGCTTGTGCCAGCAGGGATTCTAAAACTTCTGAGACTGCTACATGTAGCAACATATATACTTCTTACAATGAATTAATATAGATGTTTCTTGGAGAATTATATACTTCTTGAAATAACTGGAGACATTAGAATGTTGTGAAATATAGAAGTAACATGTTTTTTCTTGTAACAGGGAAATGTTTTTCTAAAAAGACATTACTGTATTTTTTAATTTGCTATTCAGCATTCACATGTTGAATGTGTAATAGCCTACTGCTGCATACGATTTGTAGCAGTTGGCCCTATTAGTAAGATATGAAATGATATCAAAAACCTAGAAGATACATAAAAACAAAATTGCTTATAATTGAGCGATGAACAATTAAAATGTAAAATGGGCATTATTGTAATATTGTTTGTGAAAGAGCTGACTTTAGGAACATACTAGCCATTACAAATAATAGATGATACCAAAAATTCAAGAAGGACAAAAGCTCAGCTTTTCAGCATTTTTTTTTTTTTTTTTTTTTTTTTTGCAATACTGGGGATGGAACTCGGCCCTGTACATGCTATGTGAGTGCTGTACCACAGAGCTCCATCCTCAGGCCAAGAGCTGAGTTTTGTTTTGTTTTGTTTTGTTTTGTTTTGTTTTGTTTTGTTTTGAGACAGGTCTGGCTATGTACGCAGTTCGGGCTGGCACCCAACTCACTGCCATCCTCCTGCCTCAGCCTCCCAAGTGCTACGATCACAGGTCTGTGCCACCTCACCTAGTTTAAGAGCTGAGTTTTTTAAGTGGGAGGGAAAGGTTTTAGTGAGACTAAAGCAACAGAAATTGTTCTTATCTATTTTTTAAATAAATTTTATTTTATCCCACCCCCGCCTGCCATTCTTAACTATTTAGCATTTACTTGGCCTTTAGCAAGGATTGCACACAATATGCAAGACAGAGAGCTGTGCTCAGATAAAAGGGAGCTGGCCTGAAGCTGGAGCTCTGAACCTTAATCAGAGTAAACAGCAGGAGCGAGGGACAGATAGTTAAGTAGCTGGTTCACTGTGGCCAAGCAGATGGGTCACTAATTTCTGGGGAAGGCTATACTTTGAATCATCCTCAACTGGGTTTTTTTTTTTTGAAATTTTGAATCATGCTACTAGTACAAGAATACCCAGGGCCCACTTACTTGATTTGATTCTTCTTGCAGCCTCTTCCCAAAAAAGGGGGCATGGAAAAGAGCAAACGAGAATATGCTTTTAAAGTGTTTTCTGTGCTCATTAGCAGTCTCCATTTTTTGAATCCATGGTGATAAAGTACATTGAAACTTCCTTGTTTACCTGAGAGTCTTTTTGAAAGAGACACAAACAGTTATTAGAAATGTGAAAGTATACACTCAAAAAATAAATACAAGTATACACTCAAAGAAAAAGAGTGTGGGCCCTCAAGAGAGACAGGTTATAGTTTGGAGCTGGGAATATTTGAGGTTTTCGTGGTAGAAATCTGAATTTTGTGAATCTATAGTGAGTTCTGTCTTGGTCTTGGTTTATTGGAAAAGGATGGCCCCCTTTACAAGGGAAAGGCATGAGCCCCATTTTATTGTGGGGGGATGAGCAATCTAAGGTATTTTGCCTGCAAGCATTCTTTGAACTCTCTATCTGGTTCTCTAGCTTGTGATCAGGGTTCTGCCCTTCACCTTATCAACTAAGCTCATTTGGGCCTGGGATTTAGCTCAGTGGTGCCGCTGCCTGCTGCCTGCCTCGCAAATGCAAGGCCCTGAGTTCAATCTCCCCCGTACCAAAAAACAAAAACAAAACAAAAAAATCAACTAAGCTAATTTATGGATTCAAGTATCTTTAGAGATTTGTGGTGTGAAAGATCTAGAAGAAAAGAAACAAAACAAACCTAAGGAATATTGATATGGATAATCTTGGGTAACTTTGACTGTTTCCTGGAGTTGCAGTCTTCTTAAAGTACAGTTTGTTTGTTTTGTTTTCCGGTGACAGGGATTGAACTCAGGACCTTGCGCTTGCCAGGCAGGCGCAGTGACGCTGAGCTACATCCCTGGCCCCAAAAGTACAATTTTTTAGTTATTTTTCTTATCTCTTTTCTCTTATCTTTATTTCTTCTATCCTACCTCTGGACTTTGATCTCTTACTCTGTTTTTGATTTGGGTTTTGTTTTTTTGTGACAGAGTCTGGCTATGTATTTCAGAATGGCCTTAAAAAATTCACTGTGTAGCCCAGGTTGACCTGAAACTCCTGCCAATACTCCTGCCTCACCCTCCTGAGTGCTGGGATTATGATCGAGCCCCACCATGCCTGGATAATCCCTTATTCTTTTGGAGGGGGGTACTGGGGATCGAACTTAGAACCTTGTGCTTGCTAGGCAGACATGGCTCCACTGAGCTACATCCCCAGCCCTCATCCCCTGTTCTTAAGGGGTAAGAAGAGCCCAGGTTCTATCTTCTAACTGCTTCAGGCTAAGAAGAGGCATTAATGAAACCTAGCCAGGGATCAGAATCTTACCCTGACTGATCTAAAAGGCAAAGGAAGATGTGTTTTGTTGTTGGATAAACCGTCTTCTTTCAGTAATTGAAGTTTTGGTCCCGCACTTCTTTTTCCTCCTGCCACTGGCTCTCCAAGAGAAATGTCAAATGTCACAAGACAGGGTCAGAAGAGTTTCCCAAAGTAGAGATAAGGAACCTAAACCCACCCTACCCGTAAAATAAGTTTGTAGGTTCGCTGACTCCCATCATGGAAATAAGAATTTTCAGGACTGATAAGCCGAATAAAGGGATTCGAAGGGATTGGTAGGCAGCAATTTAGACGTACACACTCAAGGAAATAGAGTGGAGGCCCTCAAGAGAAAGAAACGCTGAGAGCCTTGTCTTTCCCTTCCTTTGCTCAATGCAAGTTGAGGAAAACAAGAAAACTAATCATTTGGGGTGCTATTCTTTCTGGGCGAATGACAGAAAGTCTATGTGAGAATGTCAGTGTTTATGCTGCTTCTTGTAGGAGAGTTGTTTGCAAACTGGTCACCAGGTGGTGTGCACACATAAGTTTTTCTTTTGTATTTTCATTCTGGATTGCTTCTCTGTGCCCGTAGTACAGAAACAAGGACAAGGTGGTTTCCTGTATCACCACCTCCCAGCTGCACCATCTGCCTGGCATGTTGGAGCCTTGGGTAAACACTGCTGGCCCAGTTTGACTCTGAGGAGCCGGGGGAGATGAGAGGAAAACAGAAGAGGAGAGGAGAGACAGCTGGGAATGCTGATTCTTTCTGCTCTACCCCACCCAGCCTATGGCTCCCAGCCATCAGAGATTTACTGCCCGTCTAATTAGGATCCTTTGCTTGTCTTTGATGGACAGAGTGCATCCAGCTGTGGGTTGCGCAGATTCCCCCATGGAGGAGACAGTTATTAGTAGATACCTGTTAGGATAACTGATAAGCCCAGCATCTGTTAAGAACCAGCAGTGAACTTGGGTCTACAAAGGAGGAAAAAAACAAACAAAAACCAATATGGCATTATGCCTGAGATCTGAACGAAGAATCAAAATTAAATCATGTAGAACAACTGTCAAAATATGAATCCATACAATAAGTACGTTAAAAATACAACACTGATGGGCCGGGGATATTTAGCTCAGTGGTGCCGGAGCCTTCCTTGCAAGCGCAAGGTCCTGAGTTCGATCCCCCATACCAAAACAAAAAAAAAATACAACCCTGAGATCCATGTAGATCTGAATAGTGAGATATGCTACAAGGAGGGCAAATTTATACTAGCCCTTGAAGAGTGCATAAAATTTTACTGTCCAGAAAGGAAGAATGGGGCAAGCCTTGGTTATTAATGCCCTAATTAACAGTTACTGACAGCCAGAGCTAATGTTTCATAATCAGGAAAAGCAAGTGTGCAACTCAGTAAATGAAACTGAAATTGTCTCTTGACTTTTTTTTTTTTTTTGGTGGTGGTGGCGGTGGTACTGGGGATTGAACCCAGGGCCTTCACACTGAGCTAAATCCCCATTAAGTTCATTATTTTTTTTTAATTTTTTAAACAGGGTCTCACTAAGTTGCTAAATTGCCCAAGCTGAGCTCAAACTTGTAATCCTCCTGCCTCAGCCTCCCATAGTGCTGGGATTATAGACATGTATAACCACACCCAGCTACTTTTTTTCTTTATAAAATGAAAAGGGAAACACAAATCACGATAATGCAGTCTTGGTTGTGATTTGAATTTTGAGTCATGTTTTAAGAACTCGTCTTTCTGAAAAGGAGGGAATTTTTCTAGAGATGAGGGTATGGCGGAAGTCAGCATCAGTGTGACTCTAGAGACCAGAATTCTTCCCCCACTTCCCTGTGCAATGCTGGGTAGGTGTCTTAACCATCTTGTGCCTACTTTCCTTATCTGCCAAATGAGAAAGATTGGAACCAGACCTTTTTTGATTTGGCATGCATTTGACTTTTAGAAAGTAACTTCATACCAAAAGAAAAAAAAAAAAAGAAAGTAACCTCATAAACCAATTTGTGGTAAGGTTTTATCAGCTTAGTGTATAATCTCTCCCCAGGACTTACACTTTATCATTCTATACTATGGACTGCAGCAAAGAGAAAGTGTTAAGTCTCCTAAAAAGCCATCAATTAAAGGCAGATGCTATGCTTCATTATGTTTGCTGGCAAAGTTGCTAATCCTGCCCTGGTGACCTGGTGCTAATTCTTCCCTAATACCCACTAGTTGGAATTTAGGATGCAACCTGTATCTCAGCCAAGATAAGTGATAAATGGGAAGGGAGAATGAAAAGAAACAGTCAATTCCTCAAAAATGATTAATGTCACCACTTTTTGGTGGTGACAAGGAGATGGCCTATTGGACTCATAGGGAAATGTACACATATTCAGCTCACAAAGAATAAGCTTCAAAATAAAAATAAGAATTTCTTCTAAGCCCTTATTCCAAGCTAATAACATTTGTACTATGACCTTTGCCAACTAATTTCTCCTTAAGTTAAAACCAAGTCTTTAGCACTTGTCTTTGTGGTTATTTTTGACCTCCTAGGCAGACTCACAAACCATCTCATGCACTTACTTATTTTTATTAGCACATGTTTGTGAGACATAATGATTACATTCTTTGTGGGTAGCTGGTACATTCTTTTATACCATAACATTTATATTGGAGTTATAGTTGTTTCTAGGTTGCAAACAAATCTTTGCTTTTCCCATTGTAATGAGTTTCTGTTGTGTCAAATTATTTAAAATAGTTGAGATCCTATTTAACACATAGTTTGAGATTTTAAATGTTATTAGAAGATCATAAATTTAAAAATGCAATTAACAGAATTTTTTACACATTGTTTCTAAATTCTCTCTTAGCTTTCAAAACAAACACATTTTTCACACTAGACCAAAGTAGTTGTGAAAGAGTATCTCCAGCCACTCAGTTTCTATCTTAGAGGCAAACGTGAGTATCCTTCCAAAGATTTTTCCACATACCCAAGAAAGTAAGTATACATGTTCTTTGATTTCCCTTTCCCATACAAATGGTAGCGTGTGCTTCATGCTGCAGTGTTCCTTGCTCCTTGCAATTAACCCTACATCTTTTGAGGGGAGAGTGGTGCTGGGGATTGAACGCATGGCCTAACCCCTTGGTTTTCCACCAGCCCCAGCCGCGACTTTATCCCACATCTTGAATATCAGTCCATGTCCGGCTGCACAAAGATCTTCCTCTTTCTGACAGATATCTGGTATACCAACAAATGTATGCTTTAATGAGTCCCCTATTAATGGACAGTTGGGTAGCTTCCAATCTGCTTTGAATGGTGAGCTTGTATTGAGTATAAGCTCTGTTCTCTGTGCTTCTCATACATCATTTTATTTAATCTTCAGTGCTGCAAAGAAAACCTTTCACATACAAAACTTCGCAGAGATGTGTATCTCCCATTCCTTTCTGTACCTGAATATATATATATATATATATATATATATATGATATCCATATATATATGGATATCATAATATGGCTTTAGTTTGCATTTCTCTTTGAGTCAAGTTAAACATTCTTTTTTTAGCAAAACATTTATTGGTACATTTTAGATATACAGAATGATAACTCTCATCATAGGGAATTTGCACCTGTACATGATATATCCTGCCTCTTCTTTTTTTCCCATTCTCTTCTCCCCCTCAACGCCCTCCCCTCTCTACACATAAAAGCTTTGTTTCCATTTTTTCTTTCTATTTTCACTTTTTTTCTTCCTTCTTTTCCCCCTCCACCTGCCTCGTTCCCCTTCCCATTTGAACATTTTCTTCCCATTTCCCAATAACTATTATGCATTTTATTTTATTTTATTTTATTGGTCTTTTTTTTCTTTTTTCTTTTTTGGTACCAGGAATTGAACTCAGGGCCTGGCACTTGCCAGGCAGGCACTGCGCCACTGAGCTACATTTTATACATTTTAGTCCTTATTTCCACTTTTGGTTTCTCACACCAGAGAAACAATGTGGTATTTATACATGTGTGTCTAAAAAAAAAAAAGACTAAAATAAAAAGGAAATTTTAAGCTGGGGATTTAGCTCCGTGGTTTCGCCGCCTGCCTCGAAAGCACAAGGACCAGAGTTCGATCCCTGGTACCAAAAAAACAAAAACAACAACAACAAAAAACTAAAATAAACATGTGTGTCCAATTTATCTCAAGAGTATGGTCTCAGGAGCATCCATTTAACTAGAAATGTGTCAAGCTCATCCTTCTTTATGGCAGAGTAGTACTCCATTGTATAAAAAAAACACATCTTCTTTGTCATTGGTTGAGCGGCATTTGGGCTTAAACATCCTTTTGTAAGCCAGAACAACTTGTAAGTCTTTTTCTTATAAAATAATTTGTTTGTTTTTCTACTGTCTTGTCTTAATCATTTGTAAGTCCCCTGGTAGGGAAATTAGACATTGCCTATGATATGAATTGCAAATGTTCTTTAAATTTTGCTTATAAAATTTTTGACATGCAGAATTTGAAAAGTTATATAATTAAATTTATCAACATTTTTGGTTTCTAGTTGCATGCCGTTGTTAGGCTGAGATTAAAAAAACGAAATTATCCTTTTTTTTTCTAGTACTTATATGTGTGTTTGTCATTTTTTATATTTAAAGTTTTAATCTGTTTAAAATTTATCTTGGTATAAAAAGTGAAGGATAAATTCAACTTTGTGCTTTAGATGGCTACCGGGTTTAATCAGTACTAATTAACCTATCTCTCACAAAAAGGTGCCACCTTTTATGATAAGTTACATTCTGATATCAACAGAATTTTAGAATGAGGCAGTGCATATCATTTACTAATGTCAAGTTTGGATCTTCTCTACTTAATAGCCAAGCTTTCTGAGAAAGTAATTATTGAGCTGCTTATTTTCTACTGAAAAGAACTATATACCAAACTTGTGAAAGTACATTATCTGAACAGAAATGTATATAGCTTTAACCAAAAGAAAGAAATTCAGAGCAAATAAAAATGCAAAGTTGGAATTATTTAATCAGATGCTTTTAAGAATCATCTCAGTTTTGTTTTATAGAAACAGATAGGCAGTTGTGTAGTGGAAAGAATACTGGACTAGGAGACAAGTGGCCTGCCCATTTTGTTTTTGTTTTGACTTTTTATCTCAGTGCGGTCTCTTCATAATTAAATAATAATGATAAACACTTAGAACATTGCTTGGCCTACAGTAAATGCTATCTGTTTATTAATCATTCAGTCCATGTAATTAATAGTTTGTAATTTGTTATAAATCATAAAATGTTAAAGATTATTACTAAGAAAATGTCATCAACAGACCCTATCTCAGTCAAAACAAAACCAAGAAGGAAATTCAATATTGTATTAACCACATACATGCTATAAATAAAGTAAATGGCTACAGAAGTAAGGAATGAGTCCCTGGGAGAGCCTGTGGCTTCAGTCCCTTTGCATATCTAGCTCCCTTGGTGTGAATGCCCACCTCCCAGCACTGAAATGTGTATGCTTCTTTTCTTTAAGGACTCTATCACATATCACCTTGTGGCCTCTCTTCCAGGTAGAATTATTCCTTTAGTCGTTGGACTCCTAATACTTTATATACCTTGCTATGCACTATGATGGAGGTAGCTTCAGTAGTTTTGTCGCATCAACTAGACTTGAACCTTTTGAGAGCAGGACCTGTGCATTACTTCATCTTTATATCTCTGCTCAGCTACTGATGTATTTCCTGGCATATAATAGATGTTCAGTTGAAAGAAAAAATAAAAATTTGGCCACACGGTTATACAGTATCCTGTTTGATAAAAAAAAAAGCGTTAATAAGAATCAGCGTATTAGCCCTGATAGTAGTAAAACCAAATTTATTCATTGGTTATATTTTTCTCTGAATGTATGAGAACCTGAATCCAAGGTATTAAATGGTTTATAACCTATTTTAAATGTGTGATCTAATGGGTGAAAATCAGTTTCTGCAATTGTATGTTTGACCTGTCACTTTTTTTGTGTTGCGATAGGAATTGAATCTTGCGTTTTATTTTTAAGAGTCACACTTAAGGTGTTTGCTAAATAAGAATATTGATTCAAATGAGATTAGAAAATAAACACAGAAGCACCACACTTGACATTCAGACATTTTCTACTTACAACTATTTGGGATATATTCAAGAACCCAAGAAGAATCCAAAAATACTTCTGAAGTTGGAAGAAAAGAGCTCTCATAAAGCCTGTGTACTTGATATGGGGGGGTGCTACATATGCCAAAACCTACTTACTGACTGCTTAGCAAGCATGGCTCTTCAGCTTCAAGACATTTTAGCTTGTCTTGAGTAAAGATTTAAAGAATTCCCACCCGCTGCTACCAGAAGGCACTAAATAAAGCATTGTTGACATGAGTACAAAAGTTAGTCTCATGTTTTTCTCCCATAAATCATGGAAACTCACTTTGTTTTTCAGTTTTAGTCTTTAAGAATTCTGATGGACTCATATAAAGTGAGTTTTGACAATACTTAGGTTTTTCTACTTTTTAAAAAATCTGAATCTTAAAAAATGATGTCCCTGTGATCTCATTGTTTTGTTTTGTTTTGTTTGAGACAAGGCCTCACTATGTAGTTCAGGCTGGCCTTGAACTCACTGTGTAGCACAGGCTGGCCTCAAACTCACAGCAATCCTCCTGCCTCAGCCTTCCAAGTGCTGGGATTACAAGGGTGTGCCCACCACATGTGGCTGATCTCACCTTTTTAAAAGGAGATGATTAATTTGAAAAAGTCTTTATTCCTTTACTCAAGTACTTATGCAATTTATCGTAGGTTGAAGCTAGAGCATGAAAGGAGTCTGTAAATTTCTTTGCATAATTTGGAATAAGGTATATAAGTAAGCCACGTGGAAAGGTCAAAAGGCATGTTTTGGCGATTTGAAGAACTATTTTCATGGATGTTAAACATGCTTTTTGTGGGAAAACTATAGAGTAATGAAAATCAATATCATTCAGTTTCTTTTCTTTCTCTTTCTATTTCTAGATTGCCAAAATGCTTTGGAGTTTTTAACTGAATCTAGGAAAAGTCCACAGTAGATTTGAAACTGTAAAATAGAAGCTGCAGCAAGGGCGATTCAGTGCCAATGCATCAACAAAAAAGACAACCAGAGTTAGTGGAAGGAAATCTTCCTGTTTTTGTGTTTCCGACGGAGCTCATATTTTATGCAGATGATCAGTCAACACATAAGCAAGTGTTGACTCTGTACAATCCCTATGAGTTTGCCTTAAAGTTCAAAGGTGAGTCTCCTAGGTCAATCTTACACATTCTTAACTAGTCCCTACTAATTTTTTACTTGTAGAAACTAGTTGTTTTAAAACCACTAATGGCCATTGTGACTTTTTCTTTCAGTTTTGTGTACTACTCCAAATAAGTATGTTGTCGTTGATGCTGCAGGTGCAGTAAAGCCTCAGTGTTGTGTGGATATGTAAGTCAAAATCACTTCCTGGTAACACATTTTCAGTGTGTTAATATTTATGTTTTTAACTTGAAAAAGACCTTTTCATGAAGCTATTCCCACATAGGCATTGATAATCTTTTGATTTTTTTTTTTGCTGAAAATTATCAAACTTTAAGAAGTTTCTAAGAGATTCTAAAGAAATCAACCAACTTATAATAATATTTCATTATGTTGGAGCTAATGTATGTGTCAGTAGTTCCTTGAATACTTCCTCAGTGTGGTTTTCGTTGAAGCAGAGGTGTTGATGAAGGCCAAGTTCTGACTTGTTCTTTCAATTTCTCCAGCTATAATAGGGATTTTAGTTTTCTTTGGAATATCCTGCTATTACTGTGACATTTGGGAAACTAATAATACTATGGTATAAAAACAATGATGATATAAGTCCATTCGAAATTATTCAGCTAATAAGCCTGGAAGTTACTCTATATAAATAGGAAACAAGTGTGTAACTACTCATCTGTAAAAAGTTGTCTGAGCGCTTCCAGATAATTTCATCTTAGAGTGTCAGATAAATGATTGTTTGTACAACCTGTTCATATTTAATTTTCACTTTAGAGCTAGTGGTGACCATATGGATCCATTGACCAGCCCTTAATTTAAGCCACCAAGTAAACTGTATTTGTTAAAATCTTCTGTGAAAACACAACTCTTTTTTCTTAAATATATTGGCATCATCTTAAAGCCATAAGTTGATGTATATTTGCGAATGTGTTTTTACACATTTCTGTGGATTTTCATTCAGTACACAGTAAGCAAGGACTATTCCCAAAAAGTAGCCTTGGCACATAAATGTGTTATCCTTGACTTAATTGTTTTGTGTTCCCTAGGAAGAATAAAGTACAATAAAAAGAACTGCAGAAAACATTAAAATTACAGTGCTTTATACTCTTTTTTCTCTGTAGAAAAGTACAAAGGTGTATTATTAGCCCTCTGGAGCATTGGTCATAGTGGACTAGCTATTTATGCAGTTATTTATTTTTACCCAGGTATAAATTAGTTCTAAGTCTTGGGTGAGTTTTATGACTTGAATAATAAATTAGTAGCAATGGAAATTTAGGTATGCTTTTTTTTAGGTATGCTTATAGGGGATGCTATTTCATAAATTCCTATTTAAGAAATATTCCTTTCCACAGCTATCCAAGAAAAAAATCATTTAAAGAAAATTTACTTATTCTTTTACTTAAGACTTTTCTATATTTTAGAGTATGTGCTTTCATCAGATATTTCAGAATTACTCATTTCTTTAGGGTTATACTATTAATTTTTTGTTTTGCATCATTAGTAAATTTCTGGTTTTGAGTATTTGGTTATGGTCAGTTAATATTATTTTACTGTGTTAAAATCTCCTATTGCATTCTGTTTGACAGATCCCCAGAAACCTAAAGAGTATTTGTTATTTTTTGCCATTTTCAGTGTGATTCGTCATAGAGATGTTCGATCCTGTCACTATGGTGTAATAGACAAATTCCGTCTCCAAGTTTCCGAACAAAGCCAGAGAAAGGCTTTAGGAAGGAAAGAGGTTGTTGCTACTCTTCTCCCATCTGCAAAAGAACAACAAAAGGAAGAAGAGGAAAAAAGAATAAAGGAACACTTAACTGAAAGTTTACTTTTTGAGCAGTCATTTCAACCAGGTAGTGTTGGGTTATTTTTAAGCCCTTTGGGGTTTACACATTTCTAAATTTAAAATAATCAAAGAGCTAAGAAAAAGTACTAGAAAGTGGATCTACTACTTTAAATCTAGTTAACCACTTCAAAATTGAACCTAGAGACTAGGCTACCTGAAAAAGAACAAGAGGCCTAGAACTGGAAGAGAAGCTAGCCATCACTAGACTGGGCAATAAAGAGAGGGCAAACGTTGTACCCTAATTTTTATTTATATATACATATACATATATATTAAGTGTAAAAGCCTTTTTTATTTATTTTTTATATTTCTCGTGCTACATGATAAATATGAGTATGTATATGTTTCATATATATACAAAATATATGAAATTGGAGACTGCGGGCACCATATTTTATGATGCTGGCACAATTTGGCAATTATATACTTTTGTTTCTATGACTTTCTTATATCCTTTCTCATTTAATTAGTTCAAAAGAGGAGAGAGATTGTGTTTGGCAATAGGCCAAGTTTAGTGCACTGTTCATATTATTTTGAAAAAAAATCTCATTAAAGTTGAAGTTAATTAAACTAAGTAGATTATAATATCCCCTGTGGGCTATTAATTGAATCCCTCTCTACTTCTCATTTCCTTCTAGCTTAGATATTCAAAGTGTTATGATATATTCTTTCAACATTGACAGTATCCTCATATTCAACTCTTGGGACATTGTTCCCCCTCCCTCCTAACTTCTCATTATCTCTCTCTAAACCTATTATAAGAGGAGGGAGATAAAATTTTCCATAGAAAAACAGAGAAACTTTTTTGATGGTGTTATATGAATGTGATAACAGCTGTCCTTAAAATCGTAGCATATTACATATGAGGGATTTTTTTAAACATCCACTTGTTATTACATTATTAATTCATAGATCCTTATCAGTTTATTCATCTTCACCTGTTTCCTTACTGTAGCCACGTGTGTGTGTCTTATCAGCACATGCAGAGAGGGTCCAGATTTCCTGGTGGTACCAGGACTAGGGATGAGATAGTAGCTAATAGATTATTTTCTTCTCAGCAACTATTATTAATTGGTAGGACCATCTTTTCATCTTTTGAGGAAAGAGAACATTTGCCAGATGTCTTTTTGACAGATCAATATTGTGAAATTGACTTTCTTAGGAAATGCAGGATTCTCCCTTCAAAATCCCTCCTCTAGGAAAGAAAGGACATTTAATGATTATTTTTGATGTTATATTCATAATTTAAAGTAAAGTGGTTATTGGAGCTAACTTTGGACTTAAAAGACTAGTTTAATAGCCAAGAATAAGGTTAAGGCTTAGGGGTGTGTCTATTTGTATATAAGGAGAAATTATTGCTATTTTTTAGTTTCTTAGAATTCAAGTGAAAATCACCCTAAAAGACTGAATAATTATAAGATATTGTTTCACTCTTATTTTATCTTTATGATAAACATTGGCATCTAAAGTATATGAGAGAATTTTAATTGTAATGTTGGAGCAGGTAGATGAATTAGCATGGAGGATATTGGCACAACACATAGTGGTCTCTGGGGGAAAAAAACGTCTAAGCTATTGATGTCAGGAAGCTCACTGAAGGCAGACACCTTATTTCTCTTGTTCACCATTATGTCCTTCGTACTAGCATAGTGCTCAGCACAGAGTGGTTACACAGTAAATGCATGAATCGGCTGACTTGAGCCCTTTAAGTGTGATGATGACTTAGTCTATGTGGGCAAAGTGATATATTTTAACTTCTCTTGTCTATTAATTTATGTGTGGTTCCTAGAATATAGAATGTTCAGCTTTTCTTATTAACTTTCTCTGAACTAAAAATGTCAAAATAAATTAAGTTTGTTTTGTGGAAGTTTTTTCTGGGAGGATTTTAAATGTCACTATTTTTTCACGTTGTTAGCTTAGAAAACACTTCAACAAAAGCATATTATTAGAAGTGCCGCCAGTGCAGCAGTGTTAAAAGACTCACTGTTAGCTGGAAAAGGACTGTAGGTTGCATCAGGGAAAATTTCGATTTTAAAATATATTGAAAGTCAGTAAAATGAGAAGTTTTTAAGCTTATTGTATAAAAGACATTCAACAGTAATAAATTCAAAAGAGAAAGCACCTATAATCCCATGCACTTAACAAATCTGCTTATGTAAGTGCTCCATGTTACTTTCTTGACCTCGCCTGTGTGCATAAATACAATTTTGTATCTTCTCGGTTTTTTATTTAGCAGAAATTTAAGTGTTAAAAAGTTAGAGAAGCCCACAAAACCTTTCATAAAATACTAGAGCCCAGGTTATTAAAAAGACAATTTAAAAGATATAACTGAATTTTGCTGGGTCTGTCTTAATTGCATTATTAATGAACTGCTATGTCTTTGCTGCTTGAGTCTGTGCCTTCCGGCTCAAGAAAATTATGCTTTTTATTGTTGTTGATAGTAATAAAACTTTAAAATAACCTAAGAGCCCACCAATTGGGAATTGATTAAATTATAAATGTTCATAAGATGGAATGCAAGGCAGACATTTACAAGGATCTGATAGAATGATACCTGTTTATATATTGACATAGAAAAATCTTCAAATATATTTCACATTTAAGGGATGGGAAAGTCAGGCATGGTGGTACACACCTATAATCCAGCACTCAGGAAGGCGAGGCAGGATTGCTGGAGTTTGAGGACAGTCTGTATAACACAGTAAGTTTGAGGCCAGCTTGTACCACATAGTAAGATGCTGTCTGATAAACAAAATTAAGGGGATTACAAAAGTTATATAACAGTATTTATAATATGATTTCATTTATGTTTAAAAAATTATATCTTTATATGGGTATTCATAAAATCTGAAAGGATATAACCTAGCTGAGAAGATGGAATTATGGAAAAAACTGTGTTTTATTTTGTTGGTGTTTTGAGACAGGGTCTCACTATGTAGTTCAGGCTGGCCTTGATCCTCCTGCCTCAGCCTTCCAAATGCTGGCATTACCGCCATGCACTACCATGCCTGTCCTAGTTTTTGTTTTTGTTTTTGTTTTTTGAGATACAATCTTGCTTTGTAGTTCAGGCTGGCCTTGAATTGACCATGGAGTCCAAGCTGGCCTCAAATTTGCAGCAATCCTCCTGCCTCAGCCCCCTGAGTACAAGTATTACAGGCATGTTCCACAACTCCCAGCTTTGTTTTATATAGCTTTATAACATTTTTACAGTGTTCACATAGAATCAGGAAAATGGCTATTTCTCTTTTGTTTTTATCTTTTTGGGGGGTACCACAGATTGAACTCAGGACCTTGCGCTTGTGAGGCAGGCTCTGGAACCACTGAGCTAAATCCCCGGCCCTCCCTTTTGAAAAATTTCAAGCGTTTATGCAAATACTTTGGGAATCTCTGTAAATACTCATTTTTCTTTGGAATTATCTTTATTGTAGGTTTTCAATGAGCAACATAATTTCCATAAATGAATATGTCCTTAAAACCCATCCTTGTAACAAATATACATCTAAAATTACTTTCTTTGTTAACTAAGACTTGATTCTTTTTTAGGTATTTGTGCTATTGTTTTATGCCCACACAATAATCACTATAAAATTTGAATTTGTTTTCTACCTCCCTGGCTTTGGTGAGGTTCAATTAAACTTTACAACAGCTAAAGTATAAATAATTTAGAAAAGCTCCACTTACGAATAGAATGAACAGTGTTATTGCATTAATGAAACACCAAGATTGTGTTGCTGTTGGCTATCACTTTTTAATGAAAGGAAGATTAATGGGAAAAAACCATATAACAGAAAATGCTGTTGGGTTTCTTAAAACGATGGGTATGTATATTGTACATACAGAGTCAGAACACTAGAATAGCCAGCTTGATGACAAATCATTTACATTTTTATTTTGTTGTAAGGATATTCAACATGAGATTGACCCTCTTAACTTTTAAGTGTATAATGTTAGCTGTAGGACAAGGTTGTAGAAAAGATCTCTAGATCTTCTTCATCTTGCATAATTGCAACTTACACCCATTGATTAGTAGCTCAACGTTATTCTCTCCCAGGCCCTGGCAACCACCATTCTACTCTCTGCTCTACAGGTTTTGACTATTTAGATACTTAATTTAAGTGGGATCGTGCACAATTTGTTCTTCTGTGCTGGCCTTACTTTCACTTAGCATAAATTTGCCAGGTGTTGTTTCTCCTGCTTTCTTCTTTACTATAAATGAGGTAGAGCAGCAGGGGCAAGAACTTTCATAGGCAGGTTTATAATATTAATATTTTCAGAATTGGAAGCAGGATGCTGCAGTTATTAGAATCAAATTTACCTGGCGACCTCCCTAAGATATTCACAGAAGGTAATGCCGCTCTAATATAGTGGGCTCAAATGAAGTCCAGCTGCATCCTTGACCTAGGATGTGGTTATGTCCCCATGATCCCATTATCAGTCAAATCCATAGAATATTCCTAAACTACTAAGCCTCGTGGCTTAATCACACAGACACTGTAGCTTGTTGCTTGTCCCTTGTGATTGCATGGCTGACTGAGACTGCAGCTCACCGTGGCTGCTCAGTATTGCAAGATCATACCACATATCACTAGCCCAGAAAAGACCAGAATTCAAACTTTAGGGAATGGCTTCTGCTGAGTGTGTAACCCATTTGTACTGTCATAAAGTCAAGCCATATTAAGTCTCTTGCGACACTATTGAGGAAGAAAATAGCGAAAAACATTTCCTTTTACCACATTCTTTTAGGGTTCTGTTTGTATGTTTTACATTAAGCATACTAGTACAGAAATTGTGCAGATTATTTATAAATATACATGTACTGACAGTACACGCTTGAACACTACTGATGAGGGTGGGAAGTGGTAGCGAGGAGTGGTGGGCTACTGTTCTTTTCAGTAGGAACTCACAAGGTCACAATGCCATTTCTGGATACGTCTTGTAATGGCTCAAAAACACTTACGTTATAGGCGTCCAGATAAGTGCACCAGATAGGTCTCTATGGAATGGGAATGATGGGGAAGGCGTCAGAGAAGTTGGCCATAACGGAATACTGGTGAGTGGTAGCCAGTATATGTGAGGGAACTTTTGAGTTGTTTTTAGAAGCAAGCTCAGAAGTCTTTGTCTTTTTTACAGAAAGCAAAACTGTCTCCTCAGGACCTAGTTTACTAATGGTCTTCCTGGGAGTGGTGTGCATTGCAGCCCTGATGCTGCCTACGCTGGGGGACATGGAATCACTGGTGCCTCTCTACCTCCACTTAAGTGTGAATCAAAAATTAGTGGCTGCTTATATCTTAGGTAAGGGTTTTAAAGATGCATTTGGGATGTATGTGTAGGGTTTATTTGTGGGAGGTGAGGTTTTTGTAAAATAGATGAAGGATTGCTTCAAAAGCATGTTGAGGTCAGGTGCATTTGAAGATTTAATTTTTGTCTCATATTATTTCTTCTCACCTTACTTACCTAGTAGCTAAGACTATATTTACTGAATTATTTTCCTTTTGCTGACTTGCAGTGGTGTAAGCCATGAATAAAATGTATGTATTTCATGGTACAGCGCTTGTGCTTACAGGATCGGCTCTGGGAAACACTTAAACCAGGTGCTGAATGATGCAACCATATTTAATATCGTGAACATTTCGCTTGAAACCGGATCCTTATTTGTTGTTCAGTCAGTCTTTCAGTCATCTGACTTCAAATCTTATATTAATAATTTCAATCGAGCAAACATATATTAAGTACTTTTCATGTGTCAAGAATTGTGGTTGTGGTGATAAAGGACTATTTCTTCATATTCTCTTCTCTGCTCGACTTAGATGCCAGCTCTTTTGAGTATTCGCTCTCAGTATTTTTGGTGTGCTGTCTTTTTTATGTTTTATTTCAAAATTATCTTCTAAATTGTCTCCCTTGCTTCTGTGTGTGCTCTGCCTCTCCCTATTCCTTCCCCTCATTCTGTCCATCTTTCATATTGCTGTCAGGTGGGTTTCCGTTCTGTTTTAATTTCACAGCCATTCCCTACTCCAAAACCTTCAGTACTTCCTTCCCCATGGTCCACAGGCTGAAGTTATAACTCCGTAGGCTGGCATGTAACAGTCTCCACAGTCTGAGACCTCGCCAAGCCAATCTTGTCAAGCTGCTTCCCTATATAAACCCTTGAATAGAGCCTGTTGGATTATTGATTGATTTCAGAAAAGCTCATCTAGAATCATGGTCCTCCTCCTGGGCTCCTCTCTCCCCTGAAATGCCTGAGCACCCCGTTGTTCTGTATCTTTTCTGTCTGTCTTTTAAGGCTCGTCTCGGCTTTTACCTTTGGAAACAGCTTTGCTGACTGCCACAGTCCTATGTCATCATCTTTCACCTGTGTCCTTTTTATGTGTTTGTTTCCACTGCAAGGGCTGGAACCCAGGGCCTCATACATGGTAGGCAAGCAGTCTACCACAGAGCACCACCCCTAGCCCTGGACATTTTGATCACACACTCTCCTCACCACTCATTTACAACTGGCATGTTCTTATTTTATTAAGTGCTTATGTTTTCATATGTGAGATCTCTCAAGGAAAGCACAGATGCTTCTCTCTCTTTGTAGCACTAGGGCCTTGTTACAAATAGGCTCTTGATGCTTCTGTTGATAAAGTCTTTTGGCTTTGCCAACACTTTAAAATGGCATGTCTGCTATTATTATAGCTGATGTGACTGGATAAAGTGGGAGGTATGTTTGATGGTGAAATTAGCTATGGGAAGACATTAATGATTTAATTAAATCTGTCCAGTAACTGCCCATTGCTATAAATTGGATTTCTTCTGTATAATATCAACTAAATTCAAATTGACTTTGTGCTCTTACAAGAATGTCTGCCTATGTACTATATTTTATTTGTTCATTGAGGTTCAAACAATTGCTTCTTAAACAGAAGATTTTGTAAACTTCATGTCTTTAATTATTCTCCAATATTTTTCTTTTAGGTCTTATCACAATGGCTATACTTAGAACATGAGTGAGGATTTCAACTGACTTCTGAAGTAAATTTATCTTAAATATGAATGTGGACTGCCTTTCACTATTTCACTCCATTATCATGCTACACATTATTGAATGATTTCAAATCATTGTAAATGTATAATATATATTTTAAATTACTCTATAATTTTATTTGAAGGACTCTAGCACATTATGTTACAGTCAGCAAGGATGCTTCTGAGTGACACTTAGGAAATTATTTGATGAAATTCTTTTTATATCTATACCTATGGTACAAAAAGATTTTAATTAAAGCATTTGTTATTTTCTCATCTTTTTAAAATTCACTTTAATTGATAAGGGTCATGGGTCCTTCAAAGGTAAAGGCCTCAAAGAGCAAACTTTCCAGCCTGAAAATCAAATTACGTTTATTTCCTAGCTGTGAACATCAACATAACTATCTGAATTATACTTTGCCCTCTATTGCCATAAAGAGTTGCTATGATGTTTCTAAAATAACAGTTTTGCAGTTAATATGTAGAGGGTTAAAAAGGGATAAGGTACTAAGGGATTGTGCTTATCCTAGGGTCTCACAGAAAATAGGACATATTTAATTCATTTTGTGAACTACAGAATGGGTTTTGGTCCAGACACCAAGCATAGGAAATAGGTTGACCTCTCTATTTGGTCTAAGAGTTCTAAAGGAAGGCTAGCATTTGTTTAGTTAGTTAGGAGGGAATAGCTGGAGTAGGGAGGCAGCAAAAAATTGCAAAAACATGGCTTTACCTCTGATTAATGCTGTATGTTAATGGGAGGATCACTTTATCTTTTCTCCCAAGCCCCTTCCCTGCCCGACTATAAGTTACTTGTTCCAGTTGGGATTATCAGATACCAGGTAGTTTGTGTGAGGATGATTTTTTCTTTCAAACTCTAAGCCAAGTATAGGAAACCCTTGATAACCTGTGTCTACTTTGTATCTGTCACTGAGACACTTTTAAGTTTTTATTTATTAAAACAACTTTACCAAAATATCCCCTAAGCACAACTATATTTACATGTCGTAGAGCCTCTTCTGATCTCTAACGTATATATATATGCAGTTTTAACTGTTATTGTCATAGCAACTGATCATTTGTTTTAGAATTTTTATCTGAAAGCACAATGCATTGAGTCTCTTGAAAGTCATCTTTCAGATCTTTTTACAGAATGAATTTATGCACTGCTACTGTAGCATTCTCAAGGAATATATGTAAATACAAATGTATGCCTGAAGTGGGTTTCTTGCAGGAAACAGTACTCTGCTTCTAAAAGTACTCTGCTTCTCTGCTTCTTTTGTGTCTAGTCTTTCATAGAAAATCATTGTTTAACCATTTGGGGAGCGTAAATCATTTAAGGATCATGTCTACGTTGTGTAATGACGGAAAGAGCACATCAATGTAATCTACTTTGAACTTTGTAAAAAAGAAAAGCTTATATTTGGAAAGCTCTCTTTTTTCTCTGTTTCTCAAGTCCTGTGTTGTGCATGTGCAAGTGCACACATGTATGTGTGATAGCTCATTGTAAAAAACAAATTACTTTAACAAATAAAAGAAAATGGAGACCTGAGTTTCACATTGATGTAAGCATTTTATTTGGGTTACTTCTGAGGAACTCAGAGTTTTAGCTCTCATATTAATGTCTCATATTTCTGTGAATTAAATAAGGAAAAAGAGAACAGTGAAATATATGAGCTGGAAATATATCTGAAACACTGTTGAGGGACATTTTTGAGACTGAGGTATGTGCCATTAGTTCCCATCTCCCATGAAGAAAATCTTTTACTGCCATGGTTCAAGGGGATGGACATAGCTAGTGAGGAAAGAGCTAAAGTAGCCAGGGAACCATAGGTATTACAAAGTTCAAGGAAGAGGCGGTGAAATAGTTGTCGTTATGAAAACAAATATGATTCATCCTGAAAGCAGCTAGCAAACAGGAAGCGCACAGCAAGAGACACAGCAATGGTTGTAATTATCTGTCACTGCAGGTGTTTCTGCCACCTCCAAATCATTAGGCCAGCACAATTCTGCCACCCGAGTTCACTTCAAAAGGGGTTGTACAAAGTCAACATGTGAAGTTTCTGGTTTCTAGAAAGGATTCTGGAGGCGTGTGTCTCTTAGATATTTTCATTCACTGAGTGATTAAGTGGAAAGACCGTAGCAGCTGCTAAGGAGATACCTGTAGAGTTTCTGCATGAACACAGAAATAGGTGCTAAAGTTTCCAAACTTTGCTATTAGGAAAGAGACTGAACATTTCAAGTGGCACCTAATGCCCTGACATTTAGAGAGTGCATGCCTAAAAGGGAAAATTTAGATGTAAAGGAAGTTGGCAAAATGAGGACCCTGTGGCTACATTAGACTATTCAAAATGGAGGAACCCAGCAGAGCCTAGCTGCATTATTCCACCAACAGAATGTCAAGTTAGTGATTATTGCATTAGGAAAATATTTGCTACACCTATAATCTAGAAGTGACAAACAACACACCAGAGCAGAACATTAGTCTCCAGGATTAAATACCAAGCAGAATAACAAAGAGTTGACCCAGCTACAGGCATTAGGATGAGGGCTTGCTTAGTTACCACATCAAAGACTTTAAGTAAGCCATAAGCAGAGAAAGGAATAAATTAGGACACTCCTTTGGAGATGCTTTCTAGGACCAACAGAAGAAAAATGTGAATGGACTAAATCCAATTTGGCTGTTTTCCTTATTTTGTTCATTTAGTATTGCTCTGATTTGCTCATCACATGGTTAACCAACGGATCTTCAACAAATGAAACAAATGACATACTCTGGGCTATGTCAGCTTCAGCGCCTAATAAAAACTGGACCCAGGTCAAGGAAGATGATAGTGGAGAATGTTCTGCTCACTAAATGCATTTTCCAATTAGCTGGGTGATTGCTTTGTGAATCACTGACTTAATGAACATACAAGCTAGGCAGTTATGGATGTGATCAAGGTAGGCGGGGGTAGGGGGGACAGGCTTGTTTCAATAAAGTGAAAATAATAAATGATTTCCTAAGTCCACCAGGGTAGAGAAAAACAATGCAAAATCGATGTTGGCAAAATTAAGTGAGCTCTGCTAATGTTAAAAAAAATGTGCTAAACCCTGTGATGGATGGCAGAATGCAAATTTGGCATACACACAGATGAAACTCCACAGTAAATTACTTTTGCACAATCATAAGTCACAGGAGGCAAGGTTAGGAATGAATTCATTTGGAAAATTTAAACAAAAGCTCTTAGTCTCCTGAGAATGTATTTTTGGAGTTAATCACTGTACTAACCTGTATCTTCTGCTGTTCTCTGGCTGTTAGGAAATGGATGTTTTCTGCTTGTTTTTTTTTTTTAATAGACTGTTTTGTAGTTTTGGGTTCACAGTAAAATTATGTAAAAAAATATAGCGTTCCCATCACTTACATGCGCAGCTTCCCCTGCTATCAACATCCCACACCACCGTGGTACATTTGTCACAACCAGGAGCTTATGTCGACACATTACACTCCAAAATCCACAGTCTACACTAGGGTTCGCCATTGATGTGGCACACTCTGGGTTTGAACAAATGTATAATGACACACACATATTTGACAGTATCATACAGAGTAGTTCCACTACCCTAAAAATCCCTTCTTGAGTTGTTTGTTGCGCCCCTGTGGATTGAACCCATAGCTTTCACACTGAGCTACATCCCAACCCTTTTTTTCTAGGAGGGAAGGGGGCTTTTTTGAAACAGGATCTCACTATGTAGATCAGGCAGGTCTTAAATTCACTGTGTATCCCTGGCTGGCCTTGAACTCACAGCAATCCTGCTTCAGCCACCCCAGTGTTAGGAATACAGGCATGCACTACCAAGCCTGGCCCTTTTTTTTAGTTTTAATTTTGAGACAGGATCTCACTAAGTTGCTAAGTTACCCAGGCTGGGCTCCAATTTGAGATTCTCCTGCCTTAGTATCCCACAATACTAGGATTACAGGTATGTACCACCATGCTCTGCTGGGGTTTTCTTTTATAAATTAAAAAAAAATGTATTATGGAAAAATCTTAAACACTTAAAAAAGCCAAAAAAAGTATAATGAACACTTCCTATGTACCTATCACCTACCTTCAGATATTACCAGCCATGGCCAATCTTGATCAGACAGATTTCATAAAAGCTACAGGAACATGGATATTGGCACACTGGTTATTACTTTGGGAGAAAAAGGGTTTCTTCTCAGTTATTTTTAAATGAGAGAGTGAATTATTCTAGGGCAATGATGTATTAATCACTAACTCTACTAGGCACTTTGCAAATGGTATCTATACCCTTGTTACTCCAAGTGAGGCCCAGTAGTACCAGTATCACTAGGGAGCTTACTAGCAATGGGAAACCTCAGGCTCCACCCTAGACCAACTGAATAAAGGTCAGCATCTTAACAAGATTCCCAGGTGATCCAGATGTGTATTAAAAGTTGAGAAGCACTGTCTGCTAGCACAGGGTAGACACCGAGTAGCCTTCTAACAATCTTATAATGACACTACAGGGCAGATGCAGTATATCTTGCTCAAGTTACAGATGACTGAAACAGAGACCTTCTTTGGCTTTGCTGAGGTGCCACAGCTAATAAATTTAGGTCCATCTGGCTTCAAAGTCAATGGTTCATAACATGCTTTCTCCCAGTTAGAGTTCACTTCCATAACAACTCAATAAAAAGAGAAACCAAGGCAGTATGTGTGTACACACAACACGAACAACCAGTCATCTCAGCCACAACAACAGAAAACCAAACTGCTATTGTGCTAGGAATCACTTGCTTCACCAAAAGACATTTTGACTTTCAACTAGTCTTTATGGTATCATGTAGATATTTCAGAGAAGTTTAAAAAAAAAAAACAAACCTTAGAGCAATTACTAAATTACTCTCGACAAGTGACTGTTGACCCAAATTGAAAAGCATGAGCTCTCCCATGACAGAGATTTGCTATGGACCCAAATAACTGGTAAATATATTTTTAAGACTCTCCCCCCCGCCCTTCTGTCTCACATGCTCTCTCTCCTGGTTTCTACCGCGGCATGTCACAGTAAGAAGGTCCTCACCAGATGAAAGCACCTCAACCTTGGACTTCCTAGCCTCTGGAACTAAGAGAAATAAATTTATTTTCTTTATTAAAAAAGTCAGCCCAGCTTGACATCATATAAACAGGTGGTCCCCGATTCCTATTTCAGTTTCCAATAATTTGGGTGGCCTTCCCTGAATTGGTAGACCAAGAAGAGAGCCTTAATTGCCTGAGTTCCAGTGGACAATACAATGGTCCCTTTTGTTTTCTGGGTAGCTTTTAGAAAAAAATATTACTGAAAAAGGGAGGAAAAAAACCATAATGCCTAGAGCACAACTCCAGTTTAGCAGGAACTCATTAGATCTCAGGAACTTCTCTCCTCTGATCCTGGGAGATTAGGCCATTTCCTTCCCTTTCAGTGTCCTAATGAGTCTGGAGACTCGCATTAATGGATCAGCATGGCTACTTTGTTTAGCAATGTGCTGATGTGGTGATTAATTAGCCTCTAGCAGGAACCTGATGAAGTTCTCAGCTCAAATCCCCAGGGATCCAGTGTGGGGCGATCTGCCCTTACACATACACCAAAAAAAAGTCTGCAAACTGGCCAGCTGATAGGATGCTACAGGGATTGTGACTGACTTTCTACTTTACAGCCAAGTGACCAGAACACAACTTGCTGTTGTGAAACAGTAATATTTCCTCAAATTAATAAACCTATAGATTTCATAAAGCTAGTTCCATTGCTACTGTAAGACTGAGGGCCTTACCAATCCCTCCGAGGAGCTGACTGCAGCGAAAAACACCTGGGAAGGAACACACCGGACAAGTTGGAAAGTAAAACAGACCTTTATTAGTCTGGCCAGACGGCACTCCCAATGCAAAATAGCTTAGAGAGGCTACTGGCTCAGAGTCCGAGGCTGTTCTTATAGGGGGTTGAGGGGGAAGTTAACATATAGAATTAAAGAAAAGGGACAAAGGTTAGTGGTCAACTGTCATGTATTGATGGTCAGCAGACATTTGCAGCTTGTTCTATAGATTGTGGTGTCCGGAACATCAGTTCCGGGCAAACAAGGAGTTGAGTAGTTTACTTTGGGACTTTAGGTCTGTTACAGATTTTTATCTAGTGTCCCAAAACTAACAAGCATCTTTATCCATTAACTCACATTTAATCACAATGGGGCTGGAGAAAAGGAACAAAGGTTATGCAGTCCCACACTACTTCAGTCCACAAACTTGATTCTTTGCACGATGCTGGTCGCAAACTGAATTGGATGAGAATCAAATCAAATTCAGTGGTTAGGTTCGATGTTGACCTTAGGGTGAAATTCAGTTCAGTTCTCGTCCAGTCTGGTTTGTGACCAAAATTGTGGAGAGAATTAAGTTCCTGAACCAAGGTACCACTGTATTGTTATGCAAGACATCAAATTTTTAGTGTATCTCCTCTGCCATTTAGACAACTGTTTGGTCATCTTATCCAACTTTCTAATGGATTTAATATTTTTATGGCCAACTTTGTCCTCATCTTTAA